ACTACGTTTAACATCACAGCAGAAAGGAACTCTTTTACTATGTAAAACTTGATAACTTTGTTATGCTAATCTATTTAGATTTTTAGTCACTAACCTGGATGAGATTTCATACTACTTTTGAGCTACTTCTAGCATCAGACATTAGAGTCTTTCCATCAGAAGGAACTGGAATATGAAATATAAAAGGATGACATAAAACTCAAGGAGCAAATTTTTCTTTCTACTTTTCTTTGGGGGACAGAATTAATACAATGAATAGGGCTGACATGTTTTCCTGGCTGTGAATTGAAGACTGGAGGGAATGTAGGCATAGTCACACGGGGATAGAGTGGTACCACTGGGTTGCCCCTCCTTCTGCACTTACTACAAAAGACAGAGATCAGAAATATAGATTGCTCCTCTCTGTTCTGGTGTAGGCTCACGTTGTTAGACTGCACTGAGACACTGCTTTGATCAAACAGCTGTGAGCTTCATGAGACTGAATTAGCAGATAAGGGTACCTCAGTGTACTCTGTGCAGGTTGATATTTTAGAGATTGAAATATGTAAAAGGTCCTTCAGGCCATGTCTTGCACTATTTCACCAGGAACCTGATGCTCAAAGAGCAACACCACAGTCAGACCTCCTTCAGCACTCATACCAGACCTAAAGAAGCTTTCAACCATATATTGCTCCTTCTTTTAGGTCTAAATGTTTGCAATTCAGTGAGCAAAAGAGTAGCTGCTATGAAAGGTAGAGCACCACCGAGAGCAATCTTTTCTCTACCTTTGCAATGTGAAGGACAACAGTGTTCAGAAGAAGAAATTACTTTTCTCAACTGTCCCATGAAGGCGCTGACTTCCTTTGCAGTCTTTTCCTTGAGTGACAGGTGAGGTTGCAAGTGTTTATTCAGTGACTGGAATAATGAGGAAGGTGGATGAAGGAGCTCAAAGGGAAGTGTTAACACCTGCAGAGGGTGGAAGAAAGACTGAACAGAGCAGACTCAGGGTGGAATATCCTCCTCATAAGGTTCTGCACTGCAAATATTTCCTAGAAACATCTTGAACATGTATACATTTATTTTATTCTCACATTCAACAACTCCAGACATAGCGAACAGTCTCTATTATGCAAGATGCTGTACAAATTATATTTATTGGCCTCAGAAAAATTACTCTAAGAACCATAAGCCCAGCAGATGGACCAGATGCTCTCCAGAGACTGGCTAGATGATGCACAGACCACAGCTAGCAATTATCTAGATCTAATTAAAAAAGAAAAAAAAAAAAGTGAAAAATAAATTTCAGTTTCTGCGTTGAAAACTGCAAAGAAAATTGATATTTTAAGTTCAATCTGAGTGAAAAGAATTATACATGAATGCCACTGATGGTATGTCAACTTCCTCTGGTAAAATAGAAATGCTGTAATGACCTCACTTAGTCCAGCTCTGCCAACATTTCAGCATCTTCCCAGTTAATTACTTCAATAATAAGAAATGATATTGGGAACCATCAGGCACTGCATGTCCCTGCAGCTCCTAATTCTGTTATGTATATTGCTCTGCAGTCAGGCTGAGTTTGTTTTAAGTTTATTTTATTTCAGTTAATCTCACATCAGAAGAAATGGAAACCTCACGAACAGCTGGGAAGTGGCAAGTCCCATACTCTGACTCATAAAAGTCGCAGGTAAGCCAAAGAAAAACTATTCCAAAGGCACAGAATGGCAGTAACTTTGCTTCTCAGCAGCTTTGCACTGAGGGTAACAGATGCATTTCTTTGAAACCAGTCTGTTGGAATTTCACAGAGGTGAAGAAAATGCAGAAAAACCCCCAAACACAAAAAGCCCAGCTTTTTGTCGGGTTGAAATAGCCTTGAAGTGGAGCTACAGTTCAGGGAGACAGAGAAATATGCTGGAAACCAAGACTGAGAATACTGTTTCAGTGTACGTTGACAGAAGGATTTTGCGAAAGTGCTGTTTTCCCAAAAAGCACCTGGTCCACCAAGACTCTGGGCTTGTTCATCCACATGTTTGATATTGTCTACTGAAAACAGTGCCTTTCAAAGACAGGTTGCTTACTTACCTAGCACGACTCAAGCTACAGCAAGATTTACTGAGCACAAGCACTACTTTCCATCTGCCAGGATTAACCATGATAAATGAGCTTTTTAAAGCACTAAATTCTGGCACAAAGGAGAGTTCCTACTTGTGTTTCAGTAAAATTGAGCTAGTAATAAGTATTTATTTCCTATGCAGCTGGGATAAAACAGGGCATAGCACAAATACAATTCCTGGCAAAAGGAAAGTGTTTAATATAGAGCTTCTGCAGAAAAGATCCTCTTTGATAAAGAAGCTCTGCAGCTTAAAGGCTGAACATAACAGGTTTTCAGACAATATGGAAAAATGCTAAAAAACAACCTCTGAGGCAGAGATGAATACTTGTGGAGTACAAAGGAGTTGCACGAAAAGTTCTGTTGCAAACCTTCTGAGCAGGTAAAGGCCAAGCTTGGCTGCTGAAGATGATTCAAGCTGAATTTTCAAAAGTAAGAAACTAAAAAGTTCATTTCTTTGGTAGTTGTTAGGGTCCTTTTTTCACTGATTTTATCCTGGGGATTTGGATTGTTTTGGTACAAAAAAGTTCAGCACACTCAAACAGCAACAGCATCAAAAATATTAGATAATTCTGGCAGCACCATGAGGAAAGAGGTGCATGGTTTTATTGTGTTGGATAAGGAGCACATACAAAACCACACAGTCTACAGCTGTATTGAACTCATGCCCAGCACCTCAGCCTGAGCCTCTTCACAAACAGTTTTCTCTCTGCTTTCCTCAAAGGCTACTTTCGTGTTCTTTCTGTCTGCTCTTTTAAAATCCCCTCTCTTATCTTCCTTCAGTGGTGTTCTTCATGTCCCCTTTCTCAAAATTTCCTTCTTAGATTCAAGCTTTCTTTTCATAGACTTATACCCATATGTCTCTGTCTTTTCATACACTCTGACGTGTATCATCACAACATGCAGCAGCCAGAGGTGGCTTTGAAGGGGACCTGATTGTCAGAAGCTGTTTAGGACCCAGGGAAGCTGATGGGAGCTCAGATTCTAACCTTAAGCACACAGCTTTGGAACAATTTGTCCTGTGAAATCCGTCAGTGCCAATGATGTCTGTTCTTTAGACATTCCTCCAAGTCTTCTTTTGTTTAGGGTGTTATTACAGCCCTTTTATGCCACATAATTGTGTATTGCAACCTTCATCTTGGAAGAAATACTCCTTTTTTATTCCTCGTGGTTGCAGAGGAAAATAGGGAAAATGAAGACAGGAATATTAGTTGAAACACACAACTTGTGTTATCTGGATTTTATTTGACTCCTGCAGTTTGGGAATAGAAGCAACAAACCCAGTGTCCCCTCTGCATCCAGAAAACACATATCATACCTCCAAAATGAGGACAAATTAAGGAGGCTTGAGGGTGAACATCTATTCACGCAGGAGTTGACTTACCAATAACACAATCATTTTTCAGAGGAATTGCAGATCCAGTTATTGTTTTTTTCCAACTCTGAAAGTCAAAGAAAACTTCTTAAAATAAAGAGAGCTTTCATGAATTTTCTTTGGAAATTTTAAATGTGTTTCATGTAAGCTTTCAAGTTTAACTGTAGTGTCTCAGTTTGGTGAATAGCATCTGAAAAAAAAAATCTGATTAAGAAATATGTATGAGTCAGCAATCATGATGCCTCTAGCAAAGCTGGAATAATGAGAGTGTGAGCCAGTAAACTATTAAATGCCTTTATTACAGCTGGCCAAGGATCAGTAACAGCTATTAAAAATACATAATTGAGATGGAGTTCAATTTATTTTTTTTTTTGGCAGAGTAGAAGACCTGAAGGAATGATTGAATGTTAAGAGTCCTTTAGGTTCTATAGGTATCAATTTATATTCATATCAAACAAGTAAAGAAAGTTCATGGTTTTTGAAGTTTTTTCATAAGATGTGCTCTCACAGAGTGAAATGTATGTGTACTGTATTTACAAGGGAAGGTTTTGGCAGTGGGACAGTTAAAGGGGTGGCTTCTGTGAGGGACACCAGAAGCTGCTCCTGTGTGCAACAGAGGCAGTTCCAACCAGATCCAATGCCAAACTGCCGTTGGCCGAAGCTGAGTCTGTGAGAAATGTTGGTGAGATCTCTGGGATAATGTATTTAAGGAGGGGCACAACAACTGCTGGGAGAGAAAAGTTAGAATGTGAGAGAGAAACAGCTCTGTAGACACCAAGGTCAGCGGAGGAGAAGGGCTAGGAGGTACTCCAGGTGCCAGAGTGGAGATTCCTCTGAAGTCTGTAACGTGGACCATAGTGATGCAGGTTGTCACCCTGCAGCCCATGGAGATCCATGAAAGAACAGATATCCCCCTGGTATTCAGTGTAGAACCCTGTGCCACAGCAAATGGATGTGCCCTGAAAGAAGATGCAGCCTGTTGAGACCCTACATTGGAGCAGGTTCCTGCCAGGACTTGTGGCCCTGGAGAGAGGAATCCATTGCTGGAGCTAGTTTTTTGTGTTTCTGTAGGGGACATGGATCCAGGAGAAGTCCATTGCTGAAGGATTACACCTCATGGACAGAACCCATGCTGGAGCAGTTCTTGAAGACCTGCAGCCCATCGAGAGTCTGTCAAGTGCCCACCAAACAGCTCTGTCACTCCTCAACAGGATGGGAAAGAAAACAAAAATCTCATGGATTGAGATAAAAGTGGCTTAGTAGAGAAAACCAAGGTCCACATGGTGTAACAAAGGAAAACACAAAGGTTTTATTCTCTACTTCCCATCAGCAGGTGATGATCTGCCACAGCCTGTGAAGTAGGGGCTTTGGTAGTGGTTGGTCCAGAAGACAAACACCTTAATAATTGATTCCCCCACCCCTCCTTCCTCCTCTTCTTACTCTTATTGATGAGTCATATTGTTATATGGTATGGAATATCCCTTTGGTCAGTTTAGGTTAGTTGTCTTGGGTAGGTCCCCTCCCAGCCTATTTCCCACCCCCAGATTTTCAGGCTTGGGGCCAGGTAGTAGTGGTTTGGAGAAACAACCATGATGGGTGTGCGAAAAAAGCTCAGCAGCAGACAAAACATTAGTGTGTTATCAACACTTTTCTAGCTGCAAGTGTAAAGAACAGCACTAGGAAAGCTCTATGATGAAATTTAAGTACATCTCAGTCACACCCAACACATTTGATAATATGCAACATTTAATAATATGCATTTCTTAATACATACAAATTGAAATGTGACTGTAAATTAATTAGAGAATTTACAAAGAACTAAAAAACATTTAAGAATATTTTTAAAAGAACCCCACCTAGGTTCTTTACTTTTTTTACCAAGTCACAAGCCTTCTTAGTTTCAGCAATATTATATCTTATAAAGGGGTGGAGAAGGGGGATCAACATTTCTTTCCTTGGACCAACTTCTCTGTTTCTGTCAACGTAAATTTTACCATTGGAATTTAGTCTTGTATTTAACTTAAACTCTTATCTTTTGCAGACTGTGCAAACTTGTTGTTTTCTTCTTTCACAAATACTTTTAAACAACAAGAAAGGCATTACACAAATGTTAGCTGAGTGCCTTGTCCCTGCATTAGCAGAACAGGTTCACGCAGCCCCTTGTTTGATCTGCTTTGTCAGTTTTCCCCTGAGAGAATAAAAGTGTCAGACTTCTGGGGATTTATTTGTGTAACAGGGAGGCATCCAATGCATGAGTTTTGCCACTTCCAGACATTACTCAAAACATATTGTACAGCAAAAGTTTATCAAGATGGACTATAGGGTTTTAATAATAATCCTCCTCTGATCCATACATTGCACTGGTCAGGATGATTTATAGATATCTGGTAGCCCCGACGGATTAGGAGTGGTTGAAGTCTGGGACAAATAGGTGTGGAGTGTGTGCAGTTTAACTGCATGGGGTGTGTAGTGAAATTCATGTTTTGATACTCCAGACTTCAAGAACAGTGTCTAAATTGTGTCTAACTTGGCCAGGTCACACCGATCAGTTTCCAAGAGAAAAAACAGGGTGACATTCCCAGAAAAACCTGCAGGAGGGGGGCAAAACTGTGCTTTCTGGGCCTGGGTCTAGAAAGATTTGCTAAATCTATTTGTGGTGCATGATCAGGGTTTCATCAATGGAAGTTCCAAGCAGGTACTTTTCCTTCAAAATATATAGCCATCCCGCAATGCTTGCCAAATCAGGGCCAGAATAAAACATTACCAACATTTTGAACAGAAAAGGAAAATGCATGATGTAAGAGACAAGAGAACACAGGTAAAAGCCCTCTCCACTATGAGACAGTGTCACAACCTACTTGGGCATCCAGCTACAAAGCCTGAGAAAAGATCTGTGCAGTCCATCAGGTTTCATTTTGACATAAGAAATGAAAAACAAAGAGAAAATTACTGAGTTTTCTCCTAATCTCAACCTAGTGCTTGCTAGCTGCTATGAGATACTAATACTGATGAAAAGTTTTTGTCATCATTTTTTGGCTGTGCCTTACAGCCATATATATTTTGTGAGAGATCTGAAAAAAATATATGCAGAGATATTTCAATTGCACTTATTCATAATGCTGAAACACTTTGGATTCCTGGTCATGAAAAGGATGCCTAGAGGACACCAATGGGACAACACAACTGAAAATGTTACCTCCACACATTGATTAAAAGTAGAAGGCAAATCCAGATTGATGTGTGAATACAAGGAAACAATAGTAGTGTAAGTGCTCAGCTCAAAATACTATCTACTTGATTGTTACAGATTTTGTTTTGTTTAGATTGTTTCAGGTGATTTCTAGTATTTTTGTGGACGTCACAATAAAGCAAAGCTTTAGGAAGGCAATAAAGATGACATTTTCATAGTATATAAAACCAATGCCTCTCAAGTATTAAGGAATCACAGTAGGACAAATTACCAAAGGCATTGTTTGAAAATTGTTTGCAGAGCTTTAAAAGGTGGCTGGCATTGCTGTATGCTTTTTCGACTAAAGGAGTCTCAGGTACCCTGTATTTTTCAGTTGTATGACATTAACTAACTTCAGTCCAAGTTACCACACGCCTTTTGCCTGAAAAGTACGCACCATAAAATGTACATGAAAGAATAATAACTCCTCCTTGTAGATCTGATGTAGAAGAAAAGAGAATATCCACAAATGGTCTGAGATTTTGCAAACATCAAGAAACACAAAATAAAATGGCAAGTCGCAGCTCATTTCATCCATTTCAGCTTCAACCATGAGGCCCTACATAAGTGCTACGATTCCTATAGGATGACATTACTTCCTCTTTAGGTGCAGTGACAGGGACTACAAGCCTTTTCCCTACTAGACTACTGTCTGCACCTTTTAATTACTTAAAATTATGTATATCTCATCACAAGCATATTTAGATAAAAAAATAGTTCCAAAACTACAGAAAAATTGTCTACATACATATATGTAGCCCAAAAAGCAAATTGTATCCTGGGCTGCATTGAAAGCAGCGTGGCCAGCAGGTCGAGGGAGGTGACTCTGCGCTTCTAGTCCACTCTGGTGAGACCCCACCTGGAGTGCTGCATTCAGCTCTGGGGTCCTCACCACGGGAAGGACGTGAACCTGCTGGAGCGAGTCCAGAGGAGGATCATGGAGATGATCAGAGGGATGGAAAGGAAAGGTTAAAAGAATTGGGATTGTTGTAAAACAGAAGGCTAGAGGATGATCTATTTGCAGCCTTCTACCACCTGAGGGGAGCCTACCAGAAAGATGGAGAGAAACTTTTTGCAAGATCATTTAGTGACAGGACAAGGGGGAATGGCTTCAAACTGAAAGAGATTAGATTTAGATTAGATATTAGGATGAAATTCTTTACTGTGAGAGTGGTGAGGCACTGGAGCAAGTTGCTCAGAGAAGCTGTGGATGCCCCATGCCTAGAAGTGTTTGAGACCAGGTTGGATGGGACTTTGAGCAACCCAGTCTAGTGGAAGGTGTCCCTGTTCATGGCAGGTGGTTGGAAATAGATTTTTTTTTTAAGGCCCTCTCACTCCAAACCATTTTATGTTCCTATGTTATTATTCTGTGTTTCTATACCATGTACTACTACTCCTTAGAATAAATAAAATAACATACACACACATACAAAATATGTAAAGGTGAGTTCAGTATCCCTCCTTTCTGTTTTTAACAGTTTTAACTCTATTATTGTGCGGTGCAAGTTATAAAGGGACTAAGTACAGTTAATCAGTTTAAGAAGGCAAAATGGTTTTGTTATTTTTCCAAGGCAGGCTAGAATGAAACCCTAAATATTTGACAGAAAAATCATAGAAGTAGAAATGATCAGCATAACTATTCTTAAAATGGCCTAACTTAATGTGAATCTGAAATAGGGAGACTGAAAGTGTACAGTGAAAATTTTTCTTAAAAGCCAAAATACTGAAATTAAATAAACAAACTCAGGTGGAAGAAATAGACTCTCTGTTTTCTGTGAAATGAGACATAATGGTTGTATAACCTTTTAAAGGTTATGCAACTAAACATTGTTTGCAACCTTGGTATGCCAGAATCCAATGGCCAAATTAGTCAACAATGTAATTTATGAGGCACTCTCTGGTTCCCTCCTTACACAAATCAAATTTGGAGGCAGAATAATATCTTATGATAGCAAGGAAGCACTTGCTGAATGTGTTGTGTGGCAGCTTGCAATATAACTTCATCAAAAATCACATTTATAAAAGGAATGTTCAATTTGAAACCTCTTTTTACCCTATTTACTGACACCTAATCCATAATTCTTGCTACCTTGTGTATTTCCACATTTAAGACATTATACTGTGCAGACACCAGTGAAAAATGGGGACAACAGAGAAGGTTCTTGCAGGTGAAAGGAAGAATGCAGCTCTGTTCTTCCTGGTTCCCACTGAAAAAACGATGGCTTCCAGATCTCTGGAAATCGAGGCAGTTGATGTGAAGGACTCTTCTTTGTATCAGCCCTAGGTGTAAAAGGGCCAAGCAAGACCAAGGAGCAGTCACTTCCCAGTATGTGTGCTCTGTCTGAAGTACGCAGGAGAATAGAACCATGATGCCCAGACACATCACTGCCTCTCTTCATCAGACTTTTCTTGAAAAGGCAGGAAAATGAGGATTGCTAGTGCTGGGTACCCCAGCAGAGAGACTTTGCTTTCCCAGCAGGTTGTTGCAGAAGGCACATTAAAGCTGCTCGCAGTTAATATACTTTCTCCATCAGATCAACTTTATTCTTCAGATGATAATATTTTTCCCATGTCCCTAGTAATTCCACATTGCAGGATTTAGATTTAGCTTAAGTGGGTCCATGCCATCTAGGGGCAGTTTAGGATAAAACAAATTTGCATATGAAATTATGTAACACAAGTGACACTGCTCTGACTGGATTGCTCATTTTCACTTTTCACTTTTAATTCGCTTTAAACAGCCCTCTGTTCCACCACCATCATGTCTTTATGCCTGATGCCATTTGCATGTTTTTTAACTGAGATAATTTCAGTCAGTCTAATCGCAAGACGCAATCACAAGTTGCCGAGGGAATGCAGTTTACTCAGGAGGCGTGGCTGTGACAGCTGTTACAAGGGATCAGCATTTGTGCTTTCTGAAATATTTTTCTCTCTGGCATGATGGTTGCATCTAAAGGGGAAGAGTAATTTCTGAGGCGGTGGCACCTTCGCACTGCAAGACACAGGAATCCTTAAAAGGAGCTGGACAACAGGGAAGATATCCTCCTCTGACCTGTATACTGCCACGTGACATTTTGACATTACAAATCTCTCCACTATTCTTTTAGTGTGGGCCCCTTTGAGAACCTTTTCTATCGAATCTGGTGGTTGGTTTCAAGCAATGCAAATCACCAGACCTATGCCTAAATAATGCTTTTCATGGTACCTCAGTCAAACAATGTTTTCTGATTTTTCCTGCTCTAGGCACAACCTTCCCCATGACCTTTCAGTGATGCCCCAGTACATTTCTCACCTAAATCTTCTTATTTTTGAGACCAATTGTGGATCAGGTAGTTAGGTCCTTACTTATCAGATGTCACTATAGAAGGAAAAAAAAATATGACACAGATGTTTGATTGTGGTTCTGAGTTTTTCTAGACATTGATGTTTGTTTCTGCCAGGTTCAAACCACAGGGATGTGGAAGTTTCAGGAAATACTTTCTGAAGTCAAGAGCTGTTCACTCAGGTGCTATGGGAAGATTAAATAAGTCAGTGAGCTAGAATCAGAGCTCAAGTTTTTTAACCCTTTCAAATGCTCCATCCAGTTGTCTGCATTGCCTTCCCTGGTGAAGTTTTAATGTGTGCAAATCTGCAATTTACACACTTAACCCAAAACTTGTAATTTGCTGGGCTTCTTTAATGTAGTTTAAATTCTATTTTTATGATTAAACTTCTGAAAAATGCTTTGGACAACTTGGAGAGTGAGTGGCACTTCATAGTTAAGCCATTAAAATTATTGCAAAATTACTAATTAATTACTAATTAATTATTAAAACTTACTATATTTAGATTTTTTTTTAATATCTTGAAGTCTGTCAGGTGGGAATAGCAACTTGAAGTAATGGTGAGTTACTGAGAACAGCACTTGGATCATTACCTTTCAGAAAAGTACTCCCATTTCTGATGAGAAACTGTCTTAATTTCTTTTTATTACTAAAACTTAATGAGACAATAATTGAAAATATAATTAATTTTATAATAGTTTTTAAATTTATAGATTAACCAAAGGGGGATTCTGTCTACACAGTCCATTTGGATCTTTGGTCTTCCTGCTAAAAAAGCCAAAAAATATCTACCGATTAATGCCAGGAATAATGATGACCTCTGACCATGAAGGTCCAACTAATCTCTGCCTTGGTTTCTCAGCTATTAAATATGATGGGAAGTAGAGATCGCTGTAGGCTTTGAGCCTTTTTCTTGTTTCATCTTTTAAGGCTCCAATTCTGCAGTGCATACAAGCACAACTTTATCATTGTGACAGCACCGCTGTCAGTGGAGCTGCTCCAAGAATAAGGTCAGAAAGTGCATTCCTACAAGGCCATGGATTGAAAAATATTTGGGGTGAGATTTATTCCCCAGTTAAGAACCTGAATGGTGCCCAGCACAATAGATTCTTCTACTTTTTTGTGACTTCCTCAGTAAAAAAGTTTGTTATAATAGTAATAAAGTGAGAAGTTCTGGCTGTTCTTTATTATTTTACAGCACTGTCATATTTCACATCTGGTGCTGCGTTTGACTTTTATTCCCAGCCCTGTTAATATGTGATATATCCACAGAACTGCAAAGTCAGAAGATTGATTGGACATTTCTAATAAATATTAAGCTCTAGTCTTATACACTTGCCCATCTAGAGAAAGGGCAAACACCTGTTTTGCAGAGATCTGAATTTCTAACATGTTGTTGGCCAAATGGAACACACAGGTTGCAATCAAAAGCCAATCTGCTTGAATGGATTGATGTGCTTCAGACAGGCAAAAAATAAGCATGAATTTCTAAGGACAGTTTCTCTGGTCTTATTTCAGTTTCTTTTCACAAGATGCACAATACAGTTATCACGTATCGGGCATTGAGCAGCCTTTCATGTATTATTTAGGGAAAAGCTCAGCTGTTTTAGATGTCAAAACAGTGCCATCTAAAGTGAGTATTACCCATTATTTTCACTTGGACCAAGATTTATTTTAGCCCAGTTTCCTGTCTAGGGGGAAATGCAAATGGTGGGTGAGTTCTCACTCCTGTTACTGAATCCTAGAGAGCTGCCTTAATAAATCCAGTGCCGGCTCGCTACTGATTATTGATTCCATCAAGTTCAATGAACTTAAATGAATAAGTAGTTCCTAATTTGTTGTGACAATGCACAGATGTGTTTATTTATTAAAGAATGGAGCTGTGGCAGTGTGCTTCCCTTTCAGCACTGGTGCAACTTGGTTTGTATTGGCAAGGATGGGGAGAGAAGGGTGGGCTAGGCCAGGCAGCTTGCATGATGAGATGTTCACAATTACTGCTCCTCAGGAAAGTCTCTGGGCTTCCTCTCTCTCTTTGTGCCTTTGCTTCCCCTTTCTAATATTTAGATTGCTGAGCAGTTAAAGGCAGAGGACGTAATTTTTGTTTACCTCTGCAAAAGGGGGTCAGTGCCCAGGTCACAAGTTTGAAGTTGCAATCTAGATTACATCAGAAGTGAAACAAAGTTGATCTCACCTGCCACCTAAGGTATTTTTTCATGATCAATTTTGTCCTTTTCACTGCGTACTTGGATCCTGGCAGTATACCTGCATCTGTGTGACTTAGTGTTCTGGAACAGTCTTAAGCTTTTTGTATCCAGAGGTAATTTCAGTATGGTAATAACAGCCCTGGAGTGTTGGAGAAGACCGAGTGATGACTCTTTGCATTTTAAAATTCACTTCAGGTTTTAAAATTCACTTCTTTTTATCTGTAGATTACTCTGACATTCTGATGTCTGTTTGAAACTAATGCCCAGAAAACCAATGATGAGTGCGACGGTTCAACACCAACCGGTAACTAAGCACCACACAGACACCCACTCACTATACCCCACAGTGGGATGAGGGAGAGAATTGAAAGAATAAAGGCTAGAAAACTCATGGGTTGAGATAAAGGCAGTTTAATAAGTAAAGCAAAAGCCACACAAGCAAGCCAAGCAAACAAGGAATGCATTCACTGCTTCCCATCGGCAGGCAGGTGTACAACCATCTCCAGGTAAGCAGGGCCCCATCACATGAAGTGGTTACTCGGAAAAACAAATGCCATCCCTCCAACCATTCCCTGCTTCCTTCTTCCTCTATATACTGAGCATGGCGTCATAACAGTATGGAATATCCCTTGGGTCAGTTGAGGTCAGCTCTCCCGGCAGCATTCCCTCACAACTTCTTGTGCATCCCCAGCCTGTAAACAGGTGACTGGTGTGGTCAGCAATAACTAAAGTAACCCTGCATTATCAATGCTGTTTTCAACACAAATCCAAACCATAACCCATTCCAGCTACTGTAAAGAAAGTTAACTCTATCCCAGCCAAAACCAGCACAGATGGTCTGAAATGAGAGGAAGTTCGAGAGGCCAGTTAAGGGAATAGATTCCCAAAGCTGTCAGGTTTGGTTTCAGGAAACCTGGATTCAAATTCCAACTTGATGCATATTGCCAGACACAAACTCAATGTTACAGTTAACTGACCTGTAAAAGGTGACCTTATTAGTTCTTTTTTCACTCCTTATCTCTGCCATATTCACTTACAATTCAGTTTTCCAGGGCAGAAAATGTCTCTAACTCTCTGTTCGAGCCAGAGATTTTTGGAATGGTGACACCATCTCTGCTGGGACCTTAAGACATGTCCATAATAGAAAAAACAGCAATAAATTTTGTTCAGAGAAAAAAAAGTAAGGAATTAGATAAGTTTTTTTTCTGAAAGCACTATGTGCTGCAAAGACAATTTTTTGTCTGTAATAAAACAAAAAATGATACAGCAGTAAATCTCAATGTGCTCTTCTTTCAGTAACGTAATTTTACAGAAGTCTAGCAAGACAACTTATGTGTCTGTCCTTTCATTTATTTTCTCTAAAAATGGTTACTCAACCTGGAGTTGAAACTGGAAATTGATGTTCTGCAATGGGGATTAAGTAGCCCAATTAGCCCCAGAATTTAATCACTAAATATTCTGGTTTGGAGGACAATTGGAGTATACTCTTCATATTCTATTTACGGTTTTGTGGGCAAAGAAAAGAAGTAAATTGGAGGAGAGTTTCTGCCCTCAGTCTATATCTGCTAACATTTTTTTTTTTTTTAAACAGTTTCAGGCCCTTCATTCCCTGGAGTTTCTAAAGCAAGTATACTTACCTCAGTAAGAGGGTTGTTGTGTAAGAATTGGAAGTACAAAATAGAAGACATCAGAGAATAGAGTGTTTCTTCATTCATCAGGAATTCTTCACTGAATAACTATCAGATCTCTATGGTTCACTGGCTGGATATGTGGATAAACAACTACAGACTCAGCTCCAGGAAGAAAGATGTTTTGCTTCTTGAAGGCTACCGAGACTAAAGGTCCTTATCAAACCCTCTACTTTCAGATATGGGAATCAACTACTCCCAGCTTTCTGGTTTGGAAAACCTTGTCAGCATGGGTTTGTTAGAGAGATTTCTGATATGCATCTGCAACAGTATTTGATACAGTTCCATAATTCTGTATTTAAGACAATGCAAAGCTTACCATGCTAGCAAGACAGCACTCAGATATGCTGAGGGTCTGACACACTTAGATTCCTTGCTGATTTCCAATCCACGCCTTTGTCAGATTTTTTGAGTTGGGAAGAACAAGCCCTTTCCTCTTCTTACCTATCCCAATCTCTGGGATTTAAGAGAGAAAGGAAAGAGGGCAGCCCAACTACATAGTGGTGTTTTACACCAGGGACAGTCTGAGGACACAGGTTGCTGCTCTGAGGCCTTCCCATCCATGTAACCTCTGCACTGTCACCCACACATACTGAAATATTACTGTAGTGCATGGAGATAAATGAATGAATGCTGCTGGACTCCTCTGCTGTGAACTGACTTGGGCAACTACTTGAGCAGCAACAAGACCACACTTGCACTTGAGAAAGACAATTCAGTGAAAGCAAAGTCGGAGGCAGGTTAAAACTGTTCCTTGATATAAATATGTGGGGTTTAAAATAGAAATATCTAGTCCGTTAAGAGGATAAAAAACAAATTACACAGAAATTCATTAACTACGTTGAGAATCTCACAGCAATGCCTGCCAAACCCAGGTAATAAATCAAAATTTGCATTTAATAAAATCACTGTCACAAAGTTTCTCATTTGCTAAAGGTCACAATGCTTTGGGAAAGCTACTAATTTTTTCTCAGTCAGCTGTGTTTATAGTTACCAACTGCTGCATTTTCTCTTTCTCTCTTTTCAAAGCTCTTCTGCTTTGTTCTTATTCTCCAATGGCTACACGAGGCTGGAAAAAGGAATTGCCATGCAAGATACTGAAATTTCAAAATTCTACATTGTCTTAAATTGGCTTGAAAATC